AGTAGGTGGCCGGGGTACAGGGACAGAGGAGAATGAGGCAACACACAGATTCCCCCCAAAGCGTGAATAACACCCCCGCTGGACCCTGAACCCAAGGACAGGAACGCTGGGGAGCTTCAATATGATGCCCTAAACCAAACCCACTGCCTTCGAGTCAATTCCAACATGATGCCCCAGGATAAACCTCACTGCAAATTGTCCTTTTTTGTTAAAGCAAAAATTGGATTTCTATTACGCACACCCCAAAATGGCAAAGCTCTTAGAGCTAAAGGCCTGGGGGGCTGGTTCCATAGGCCCAACCAGAGCGTTATATTACAGCAATTAGGGGGCGCAGAGGCCAGCACACCCTGAGACCAACCCACGGTATATGGTGGGGAGACCGGCAAGACAGCCACCGAAGGCTGGGGACCCAGGGTTTAGACCTGCAGCGGCAGCAATTTAAGAGAAGGGCGGGGTCCATCAGGCCCCATCTAGTTCCTGTGCTCAGCCCTCCCAGTTTCTTAGTTCATTTAGCAAACGAGTATTTGTGGGAACAGCACCCAATGTTGGCACTGTTCTAGGTATTTGGGATCTCGCAGTCACTTCAAAACAGGCAGAAATCCCTACTCCTGTGTGGCTTAGCTTGCCTACACCCCAGCTGCTGTGAAGTCAACTCCAACTCATGGTGACCCCATGTGTGTCAGAGTAGAACTGCTCCAGAGGGTTTTCAATGGCTGTGATATTTAGAAGCAGATCGTCAGGCCTTTCTTCCAAAGTGCCTCACGGTGGATTCAAACTGCCAACCTCTTGGCTAGCAGCCGAGGGTTTAACCATTTGCGCCACCCAGGGACTCAGCTTACCGCTTAGTGACTTTTTAAAAGCTCAGTAAGTCTCTTGCCAGCTCTGCAACAAAGAATATTCTTCTCAAGGACCTGGGAATGATCCCCTTCAAAAGCAGTCACCAAGGAAGACTGCACCCCTCTCTCCCAGTTTCTGTGGGAGGGTAGAAGCCTAATTTTGGCTGCCACCAGCCTCCCAGTTATAACTTCCTGCTTGTCATAGAGATGGGAAGGCTCACCTTCCTTTGGATAGAGGCAATTAGCTAGCACAGAAGTTAATAAATAAATTAATTAACCCATTGCCCTCGAGTCGATTCTAACTCACAGCGACCCTATAGGACAGAGTAGAACTGCCCCACAGAGTTTCCAAGGCTGTAAATCTTTACAGAGGCCGACTGCCACATCCTTCTCCCTTGGAGAGACTGGTGGGTTCGAACCACCAATCTTTCGGTTTGCAGCCAAGCTCTTAACCACTGTGCCAGCTACTTGCTAGCACAGAGGGCCACCCCAATTACCAGGTGACTAGGACGGTCTAGGAGCCCTGGTGCGCAGTGGTTAAAGTGCTCCACTGCTAACCAAAAGGTGAGAAAGATGTGGCAGTCTGTTTCCATAAAGATTACAGCCTTGGAAACCCTGTGGGGCAGTTCTACTCTGTCCTATACAGTCGCTATAAGTCGGAATCAACTTGAGGGCAATGGATTCAGGCTTTAGGATGGACCATGTGTGACCAGTGGTACTGCCCAGGCCTCTTGCTTGAGGGCTAGATATCATTGATCCTGAGAACATGCATGCATTGGGTTATATCTGCCTGGCTACACAAAAGGGTGAGATTTCCTTCTGTTTCTGCAATCTCTCTAGCAAATTGCCTGTGATGTCTGTTGCCATCTGATCGAATGCTTATTCAATAATAAAACATTCTTCTTCCTCTTCTGCTTTTGTGGGGAGGTTTTCTGTGTTGGTACCAAAACCAGTTACCATCGAGTTGATTCCAACTAACGGTGCCTCCACGTGTGTCAGAGTAGAATTACGCTCCATCAATGGCCGTGATCTTCGGAAGCAGATCACCAGGACTTTCTTCTGAGGTGCCTCTGGGTGAACCCGAACCTCCAACCTTTCGGTGAGCAATTGAGTGTTTAACCCTTTGCACCACCCAAGGATCCCTGGGTTGGGAAGGGGCTTTTTTTATTTCCTCTACGTCCTACTCAGTGTCCTGTAAGTTTGAGTTCAACGAGGCAAACTCTGAGAACCACACACAGCGCTGATGAGGTTTCAGGTCCACCAGGAGAGGCCAGCTGGAGGACACTCATCCTGACGCCCCCTGGCCTGTCACCATCCCCTTTCAATGGCTCCACTCTTACCTGGAAGCTCAGCTTGGGGAAGCAGCTTTGATGGTCACTAGCTGTGTGAGCTTGCATAAGTGACTTAACCTCATCAGGGAGGGCCGAGACCACAGCGAGGCGAGTGAGGCACTGCCCTTGGACACAAGCTTTAAGAGGGTGCTCAAAAACTCAGCAATCAGGATAAAGAAAATTTCACGAACTATTTTAAGAAATCAACATTAATGTAAAAACTCCATGAGGAACTGCTATGTACATTCTCAACAACAACAAAATAAATAATAATAAAAAATAAAAAAAAAAAAAAAAAAACCCACAAGGAACTAACAAAATTTTAAATAAAATGGCTTCATCTACCCTGAGATCAGAAGAACTAGATGGTGCCCGACTATCACTAACGACCCTTCTGATCAAGGCCACAACAGATGGATCCTGACAGAGGGGGAGAAAAATGTGGAACAGGACTTAAATTCTAAAACAGTTCAGACTTACTGGACCCACTGAGACTAGAGAACTCCATCAGGCTATGGCTCTGAGATACTCCATAAACTTTGAACAGAAACTACCCCCTGAGGTCACCTTTTAGCTAAATAATGGATCAGCTCATAAAACACATTACCCATGAGTACGGTGCATCTTTAAAAAATCATCTACATGAGACCAAGTGGTCAACAATTCCTCTAAAGCAAAGATGAAAGGGTAAGGGGACAGAGAAACCAGATTACTGTAAGCAAAACATCCAGAAGGGAATGAATGAGACTGTTGACACATTGTGGAAAATACAACCAATGTCACAGCAATTTGTGTAGTAATTGTTAAATGGGAACCTAATGTGCTGTGTAAACTTTCACCCAAAACACCACAAAATATTAATAAAAAAATTAAAAAATAAATAAAGACAGGACCGACCCGGCACGTTCGAGCCGCTGCCTCACTTGCCTTACCCTAATCCTGGCCCTGTCCTCAGCCTCATGTTCTTCATCTTTGAAATGGGTCAGTTATACCTGCAGCAACACTGGGTTGATGTGAGCATCAGAAAAGAGAACGGAAGTGAAATCAAGTTGACTGAAAGCACTCCGTAGGGCTTAGAGAGAGCGAGCTGTTACTAAGGCCATTTCTAATACGGCAGCAGCACACCCTTTCTAGGTCTGTACTTGCTTTTTTTTTAATTCACAATTTTCATTTTAAGGACTGCATAATATTCCAGAATTGATGAACCAACACTTACCTACCTGGTTTCTTTTTATTGGCTATTTATTTTTTTTCAGTGATTCCATAAGGTAAATACCCTGACAGTGGACATGTTTAGGCACATGGACCCTTCAGAATCAGTAGGAATTCAGCAGTGGGAATGGGCTAAATCTCACTCTAAGGTCCCCAAGTGCCTGTCAGTGTGTCGTACTGTGGCAGCATGCGTGGTGCTGTGATGCTGGAAGCTATGCCACCGGTATTTCAAATACCAGCAGGGTGACCCACGGTGGACAGGTTCCAGCGGAGCTTCTAGACTAAGACTAGGAAGAAGGACTTGGTGGTCTACTTCTAAAGATATAGGAAGTATAAGCAAAGAAAGAGTAGAACAACGGTTAAACATCGACCGCTAGTCAAAACTGAAATGTCGGCGGTTCGAAACCACCCAGCAGCTCTGCAGGAGAAAACACCTAGCCATCTACTCCTGTAAAGCTTACAGGCTAGGAAACCCTAAGGGGCCGTTCTACTCTGTCCTATAGGGTCGTGAGGAGTTGGGATCGACTCGATGGCACACAACAACAAAACAAGCAAAGACAGCGGGGAGTTTAGTACTGAAGTCTGTACTAACTTTTTACGTCTGACTCCCTTTCTCAACGAGATCAGCACTTCTACCCCTCCAGACAAGTAAGACAGACAAAAACTGATTCTACAAGCTCATGTCTGTTTCACCACACGCCCCAATATTTATTGAGCAAAGGCAGATAGATGTACTTGCACAAAGATGAAACCAGAACTGGACCTGGAAGAACCCAGGACACAGGGACGAGGAGGGTGGCAGAATGTGCTGGAACAAAGTCCCGACAAACCTGTTCCTCCTCCTGGGTTATCTCAGTTTAGAGGAACACCAACCCCGGAGGCCCACGCAGACACCTTGGAAAGGCAGCTCTGTCAACACTCGATTTTCCCAGCTGAGCTGACGGCTTCCTTCCTGGCGCCTGCTTCCGCAGCAGGCACAGACACTTAACTGAGTGCTCAACTCCATGGCTAGCAACTCTGGACAAGTCCACCAGAATATCCCCGGAGAAGTGGACAAAGGGGAGGCGGAGGGCTGAGGGCACGAGGACAGTCGGGGCGTGGGGTGATTAAGAAACCCTTGCTGGTGTCTTGTAAGTAAATTGGTGATCTCAAATTCTGGTTTTGAGAAGTTTAAAACTGCTAGGAGTTGAAAGCTGAAATCATAGTACAGCACTCTGGGGACACCAGCAGGGATGGAAATTAACCAAGAGACTTCCACTCTTTCAGGCTCCCAAGGCCTGATTTCTTAACAGGGAAAAAAAAATCGTTTCTTTTATAAATAGCAAAACAGCCCACGTTCAGCAGCTGAGTGGGGGCCTTCCTTTTTTACTTCATGTCCCCTTTGCCAACCCCAGAGTATGACCCTCAGGGCCTGGGCACAGCTGACCAAGCAGGCGAGGCGGCCGAACATGGCTGACAGGGTGGTGGACCTTACCTGGCCTTTCCTGTCTCCGCCGCCCCCAACGAAGAGGCCTCAACAGCACCTGGTGCTTGGGAAATAGCCCTCCCCCACCCCCAGGATTCTGAACCGCTGCCACAGGCGAAAGTCCACCCAAGTGGCCAGGGGGAGGTCACATGGTACCCTGGGCTCCCATCTGCGAGAATGTCCTGAGGGCCTCCTCTGCTCCCAGCCGGACGACCCATCTGCTGGGGCTGTACTGAGTCTCCAGCTCCTGTGGGCAGACAGAAGTTCTATAAGGCTGTGTTCTCCACACAGAACATGTCCCCCGGCCCCCTCCCACCACCTGCAAGCTGGATGCTCTCCTCTCCCTTGAGCAGTACCCTCCCCAAAATCCCAGGCTCTCCAACCTCCAGCCTGGCGAATCCCTCCCCCCCCAACTCTGCCTCTACTAATTAGGTACTTCAGATACAACCCCAGAGTCCCTGGGTGGTGCAAACAGTCAACTCGCTCGGCTGCTGAGAGGTTGGAGGTTCCAGTCCACCCAGAGGCACCTTGGAAGAAAGGCCTGGGGATCTACTTACAAAAAACCAGCCATTGAGAACCCTATGGGGCGCAGTTCTACTGTGAAGTGCGCGGGGTCGCCATGAGTCGGGGTCAACTTCATGGCAACTGATAACTGGTCAGATGCAGCCATTACTGCTCCATGGTCTAGAGGCATGCCAGAGTCTATCATGCCTTTAACCAGCGACAGCCTTAAACACAAGGGCAATGAAGTCCGATAAACGTGTCCCAGTTAATGGGATCTTGCGTACCACTCTTTCTGCAGCAACAGTGCTGGAGGCCAGAGAGCTGGGTGGCCACTGCAGAGGAGGGGGCATGGGGCAGGTCTTGGGTGAGAGGGTATGACTGTGACTGCTGAAGATGGAAGGAGGGGTACCCAAGGGGAAGACACAGCACAGTCAAGAGTATGGGGTGAGGCTCAAATGTGTTTGGAAACACTGGCCAAGGTGGGCTGAGAAGCTGGGGCTGGGGGATGGAGGGTCTTCAACGTTCAGGCTTAACTGAGAAAATAACAAGGGTCGACATTCTGGAGAAAGGGCTCAAAGGCGTCACAGTGAATGCTGGGCTGGAAAATTTAAGGGCAGGGTGAGGTCACAGAAAGACCCCGGGCTCTGGAGACAAGTGGGCTGAGCGCCATCCTAACCCCAGCACTTACTAGCTCTTTTACCCTGGGCAAGTTACATAGTCTCTGGAGATAAGGCGTGTGAATGACTTAAAGCTAACCACTCAAATCTGCGTTACTGCTTCCTCCTGTTGAATGGAGTTCCTAGCCTGGATCCATGGATCTGTACAGTTTGTACCAGTATATATGATTAGAAGCCCTGGAGATGCAATGGTTAAGCGCTCGACTGTTAACCAAAAGGTTAGGGGTTTGAACCCACCAGAGTCTCCACGAGAGAAAAGACCTGGTAATCTGCTCCCATAAATATTACAGCCTAGAGAACCCTATGGGGCAGTTCTACTCTGTCACATGGGGTCTCTATGAGTCAGGATCGACTGGACGGCACCTAACAACAAATGTGACTACCTGCAGGGTCCTTCCAGCCTCGTCTGGCACACAGCAAGTATTCAGTGACTGTTATCAGCATCACTGCTATTATTTATGGCAAAGATGGTGCCGTGAGTTTCTAAGAATTCCCTGATATTGTAGGCAAGTGTGTGTGTGTGTGTGTGTGTGTGTGTGTGTGTGAGAGAGAGAGAGAGGTTGATTTCCTGAGGCAGTATCCATAACTTTCATTAGATTTTCAGATGCTCTCCTGACCCAAAAAAGAACCACTGCCCGAAACCCAGGAAAATGAGTAAGGAAATGATAATCACAACCTCTCCCAGTGCCAGGTACTGCGCTGAGTGCTTTGCAAATGTTGTTTCTAACCCTCACAACAATCCTCAGTAAACACCGACCTCCCCCATCCTCAGCCTCCCCAGGTAAGCACAGATCCACACATATTGTGTAACCTTAGACAAATGTAGCAAGAGTGGAAAACTTTGCCCCTAACCTTCGTGCGGCTATGCACAGAGTAACAACCCGGCTTCGATTTCCTCTATCCTTAAAATCGGGCTAACAAAAATCTGCAGCCAGAAGTTAAAATGATGGTGGTGCTAAAGCATTCGGTACCCGGCACCCAGTAGGTGCTCAATGGCGCCCACAGGTCTGGATGGCTTCTAAATTTCCTTCTTAGAACTCCAATCTAGTCTCTGAGATGACCTTCTCAAGCCCCTACTCACTCCTCCCTGCAATCCGCCTACCTCTTCAGACAGCTTCTTCCAGGGAGCCTCATCCCAGCGACTTTCAGCGTGACCACCCATTCTGCCGTCTACAACCTCGTGACTGCATGGCCGACACTTACAGGCTTGGCGGGTGGGTGGGATGAGTCGAGGCCCCGCGCCTGCGCTCAGCGGAGCCACGCCCACTGCCTCGATTCCAGGAGAACCCGCGCCAACACAGCCGAGTCTCGTCGTCGTAGCTCCGCCCAGTGGTCTGACTGGCTGGCTCCAGGCCATCCCGCGCCAACTCCGCTCCCGCCCCGCCCCTTCGTCGTAGCCCCGCCCACTGACCTGACAGGCTGGCTCCCGGCGATAAGGCGCCAAACTCATTCCTGTGCTTTGTCGCCGATCCCGCCCACGAGGGGGCGGGCTTCAGTCAAATCTCACCCGGTGATTGGCCCCGGTGAGCACCATTTGGCCCCCCCTCATTGGCCCGCCCGCCGGGTGTGGCGGTGCGGAAACCTGCGGCGCGGGAGCTTTAGAACCGCCGCGGAGGTCCGCGTTCCTGTGAGTTTCCCGGAGGCGCCATGAGTTGCATCAACTTGCCCACTGTGCTGCCCGGCTCCCCCAGCAAGACTCGCGGCCAGGTCCAGGTGCAGGCGCCGGGGCGAGGTCGGGCGTGTGGGGTCCTGGCTTGCGGGGTCCGGGTGGCAGGGTCAGGGTCCGGCCACTGCTCGGCCTCGTAGCGGAGCGCGCCGCTAAGTGACCTCTCCTTCTCTCCTAGGTGATCCTCGGGCCCATGTTCTCAGGGAAAAGGTAGTGGCTTCGGGGGCCGCGGGTGGTCCGGGCGCCCTCCTCCCCGGGGTCCCTACCCTTCTCCCGAGGGACCTTACCCTCCTACCCGGGGACCCTACCCTTTCTCCCGAGGGCCTCGTCCTCCCCGGCGACCCCTCCCTGGCCGCTGCCCCTCAGAGATGAGCCCTCTAGAATATTCCCAGCTCAGGATTCCCTCCATCCCTGGAATCCTGTCCTGGAGGAAGCCCCCTCCCCGATTTTGTTCACGCCTGTTCTGGAGCTGGTCCAAGTACAGCTTCTCCCCTATCAGGGACCTCAGAGGAGGGGGCTCCAGTCTTTCCAGTCGTGACCTTAGTGGGCAGGCCCTGGTGCTCCGCTGTACCCTAGTCCCCTTAAGGTGTGCCCGGCTTCTTTGTGTGGCGAGGAGACAGGGTTATTTTCCACACTGAGGGGCCTGTGAGGCTGGGGAGCCCCCTGATCTCCTCCCGCTGGAAGGCCCTTGGAGCGGGCCCCTCCTGATTTGGCCTGTGGGGTTGCTACAGAATCTGGGTGGAGCTTCTTGGCCCCAGAGGCGAAGTGCTTTCACTACTGCAGGGAAAACTTTGGTGAAGTTAATTCTGCTAACTGCCGGTGGAAGTAGGTCTGTGGATGAGATCATTTCCAGGTGCAATCAGCCGGCCCCTCGGCCGGGAGAGCGGCCCACCCCCACCTTCCCCACCACATTTTTTTTTTTGTTTTTTTTTTTGGTTCGTGTCCACTTCAGGTGAAGGCTTACAGAACAAATAGTTTCTCATGAAACAGTAGTACACATTTTTTTTTTGTTTTTTTTTTTGGTTCGTGTCCAGCCGGGAACTCTTAGAGTTCCCGTTCTTCTTTCTTAGCGGCTTTTCCACACTCAGAGAGCCCTGGAGGGCAGTGATTAGGCGCTCGGCTGCTAACCGAAAGGTTAGTAGTTTGAGCCTACCAGCCGGTCCGCGGGAGAGAGACGTGGCAGTTTGCTTTCGTAAAGATTACAGCCTAGGAAACGCTATGGGGCAGTTCTCCTCTGTCCTGTAGGGTCGCTATGAGTCAGAATCAACTTGATTGCAATGGGTTTGGTTTTGGTTTTGGATTCCCACACTCCCCCCGCTGTCCTTCTGCCTGTAAACCACCAGGGGGCGGCGGGAGTCCAGCCCGTGGAGATGGAGTTCTTCGTCCCACAGGCTGTGGCCTCACCGGCCCTTTGCCCTTGTAGCACAGAGCTGATGAGACGGGTCCGCCGCTTCCAGATCGCACAGTACAAGTGCCTGGTGATCAAGTATGCCAAGGACACCCGCTACGGCAGTGGCTTCTCCACACATGACAGGTCAGCCCCTGCCCCCGCCTGCTCTGAGAGGTCCAGGGAAAATTCGCCGGGCACAGAACAGGTGGCCAGAGCACTGATGATCAGTAATGCTGGTGCCTGGCATGAGACTCCAGAGCCGTGGTTCTCAACCAGGGCGATTTTGCCCCTGGGGAGCATTGGGTGGTGTCTGCAGGTATTTTTGGTTGTCACAGCTGGGGTGGGGGAGCCGCCCGGATACTGCTGAGGCTGAGAACTGCTGCTCTAGAGTTTACATGTACACAGAGGATGCAGACTGGTTTTGGTCGGCCTGCACATTGGTTTTTGCTTATTTTTTTTAGTTTGGTTGTCCTCAGCCACCTCCCTGGTGCCTGTAGTCTCCATGCTTTCCCATTGTATTTATTTGCCTGACCCTGTAGACATTTCAGTCTGCAGCCCCAGGTCTGTGGGTTACACTGAGTTCCATTTCTGCCTGTTCTTGGCAGCAGATTGGAATTGGAGCCTGATGTTTCTGAGCCCGAGTCGCTCGGTCCCCCGGATGTGACCACCTGAGCCCCCGTGGCACAGCTGAACCACACGCAGGGCTTGGGCCACAGAGCCTGGTCCAGAGAACCTGGGGTGTGGCGTCAGGGTGGCAGCCTCTGGCTTCTGACTCCAGGTGGGTGGCAGAGTGGAGAGTGCCAGGACTTGGCTCCAGAGCCGGGGTTGAGTCCCGGGCTTCCGCTTCTTGATAGTGTTGTGTGAGTTTGCCTCCTCAGCCCTGAAAAGCACTGGCGGTGCCGCGCCCAGGATGGGTGTGCACACCTGGGGAGGTCCGTGAAAGCAGGGAAGGCTGCAGTGTACAGAGCTCACAAGTGTGACTTCTGTAGTCAGTCAGATCCGGGATTCCATCCAGGCTCTGCCATGTGGGTAAAAAAGCATCTCTAGCATGGGCTGGTCGCAGACGGGGACGGGCTCAGAGCAGTAACTGAGCACTTGGCTGGGGGACCACAGGCCAGAGTTAGGGCTACCTGCTGCCTCTGGCCTCCTCTGTTTTGGGGAGGGAAGAGGGAATTTAAAATACATCAAGTGCTGTTTAGCGCTCTTCTTAGATCTTGAAGTAAGACCATAGCAAGATGACAGCTGTGAGCTAAGCAGCAGTTGTAAAATATTTTCTTTGCTGTAAATACAGCTACAAGGAACCCTGGGGGCGCAGTGGTTAAGCTCTTGGCTGCCAACCGAATGGTGGGTGGTTCAAACCTGCCAGCTGCGCCGAGGGAGAGGGAGAAAGATTACAGCCTTGGAACCCTACGGGGCAGTTCCACTCTGTCCTATAGGGTCTCTGAGTTAGAACTGACTCGAGCACACATGACAACAACAAACGCAGCTATAAGCTGCTGAGAAGTCAGGAAGCTAACAGTTCTTCCCAAACACCAGTTCAAGAATGAGGACACAATAAACCAACATTGTAGAAAAACGCGGAAGCTGTTTAGGCAGGCAGAAGGTATACATAAACAACAGCTCTCCTCTCCACAACCCCCACTGGCTGCGGGGCTAGGGTGGGGCCCAAAACATCTTGCAGTGGCTCTGGAATGTTCTGTTCCCGCTGTGTGTGCCAGGTGGTCCATCTGCACACATGCCTCCCACATGTGCAAAGGGTTCTCCCTGCAGGACCCAGGAGCAGCGGTGTAACAGCCTGAAACCAGACTAGTTGGCCTCCCGGCTCTGCCGGTTAGTAGCCATGTGATCTTGGCGGAGTCTTTTGACCTGTCTGGAGGAGCCCAAAGGAGGGGATTCCAGGTCTTTGCACTGCGGGCAGGGCCCCAGGCTTACCCCTGCTGGGGCATTGCAGGGGTCTTTTAGAGGCTGGTGCTAACGGTCTGCCCCTAGGGTCACATTCATGGGCCCATCCCGCCACGTTGTAAGCTGCCCTCGGCTCATGGTGACCGCATGCACAACACAACGAAATGCTGCCTGGCCCTGCGCCATCCTCATGATCATTTGTGGATCAGATTGTTGTGGTCCATAGGGTTTTCACTGGCTGATTTATGGAAGATCACCAGGCCTTTCTTTCTAGTCCCTCTTAGTCTGGAAGCTTTGCTCATAGCATCACAGCAACATGCAAGCCTCCACTGACAGTCAGGTGGTGGCTGCGCATGAGGTGCGTCGGCCGGGAATCAAACCCAGATTTCCCACATCAAAGGCAAGAATTCTATCACTGAGCCACCGCTGCTCCTCCTTCCTCCATTAATAAAAATAAAAAATATATATATTATGGCTGCCTTGATGCAAGACGTATACTCCAAGCTGAGTTATTTATTTTCTTCTGATGTTTTCAAAGAAAACATTTCCGTTGGCCCCTACAAGTATCCTTGACCCCCGGGCACTGTGCCTGCTGCACCTGATGGAGAATCGGCCTGTCTGCCCAGCCGCTGGACAGGGCGTAGAAGAGCTCTGGGTCTCAGTACAGAATTATATTGGGCATTGCTAATTTCTAGTCCAAAGCGAAAAGTGAATTTCTTCGTTAAAAATCCTGGGCTTTGGAGCAAGGGCATCTATTCTCCCTAAATCCCTTCTCATGGGTGCTGATTTCTCAAAGCTCCGCTGGGCAAAGGCCACAGCCTGCTTTGCGGGTGGAGCAGTAGTCAAGAGGTACCCTGGTTTTCCGACGTCCGTCTCCCTGGCTCTGCTCACGCTCTGGCTTTCCCTCCACAGGAACACCATGGAGGCATTGCCAGCCTGCCTGCTCCGGGATGTGGCCCAGGAGGCCCTGGGCGTGGCGGTCATAGGCATTGACGAAGGACAGTTTGTAAGTTGGCTTCTCCTGGTGTCACTCTTCCTAGGAGTACCCTCTCTGTCCTGCTTTTTCCTCTGCTAGCTTAGAGGTTACTGGTTCTATTTCTGTGCTTTTAATAGTTACCCTTACACTTTCACACTTAAAGTAAACAAGATAAGTTAACTTCCTTTAACAAATGGTGTTTGAAACACTGCTTCCTAGTTTCCATGTTATTGTTGTATGGAATTTATTTTACCTTTCAAAAAATATGTAATATTTATTTTATAGTGAACAAAAAAATTAGACTTCTCAACACTAGCAGGGCCTGGTGGCTGCTAACCAAAAGGTTGGCAGTTCGAATCCACCAGCCTCTCCTTGGAAACCCTATGGGGCAGTTCTCCTCTGTCCTGTAGGGTCTCTATGAGTCGGCATCATTGCTATGACTCAACAGCAATGGGTTCAGTTCGGTTAACACTGGTGCATAGGGAATGTTCTGTTTTGCTTGGCCCATTGTTGCTTTTACTCATTCCTTATGAGTTTATTTTTCTTCTTGCCGAAATACATTCTTCAGTAGTTCTCGCAGCCAGGATGTATAGATGAGAAGCTCCCCTAGTCTTCCTAGTCTTTGAAAATGTCTTTATTTTGCCTTCTAGTTTAAGCTGAGTAGCAGATAGTAGGTTGACCACGATTTTTCCTTGTTGCTTTGAAAAAGTACCAGCACTCATTGTTGCTAACAAGAAGGCTGTTATCAGTCTAATCGTTACTTTCCTGGGTGGGTAATCTGCCTATTCTTTCTCAGAACAATAAAAAAATCTTCATTTTTATCCTGTTTTGTATTTGGTGTGCCTTTTAAGTCTGCTATTCTTTAATTGCTGAAGCTATGGTCTTTTCACTCACCTCACATGCATGTGAAAGCTGGACAACGAAAAAGGAAGATTGGAGGAGAATTGATGCATTTGAATTGTATTGGGAAATAATGTTGAATATACCATGTGTTGCCAGAAGAACAAACAAATCTGTCTTGGAGAAGGTACAGCCATAATGCTCCTTTGAAGCGAGAATGGCGAGATTTCATTTTGCTTAATTTGGACACGTCATCAGGAAAGACCAGTCACTAGGAAGGACATCATGTTTGGTAAAGTTAGAGGGTCAACGAAAACGAGGGAAACCATGAGACGGATTGACACGGTGGCTGCAACAATGGGCTAAAACATGCCAACGATTTTAAGGATAGCGCCGGGCTGGGCAATGTTTTGTTCTGTTATACGTATAAGAAGCCCTGGTAGTGCAACAGCAGCTACTGATTGAAAGGTTGGCGGTTTGAACCACACATGGCTCCGCAGGAGAAAGACCTGGCAGTCTGCTCCTATAAGGGTTACAGCCTAGAAAACCCTATGTGGTGGTTCTGCTCTGTCACGGGATCGCTATGAGTTGGATCCCACTTGGTGACAGCTAGCAACTACTACTTCGATGTGACCTTATGTTAACTGAGAACATCTTCAAAGGCCCTATTTCCAAACAAGGTCACATTCACAGGTCCAGGGGTTAGGACTTTAACATAAATTTTTGGGGACACAATTCAGCCCATAACACACGCTCATATATGCTGCGGGAGCCAGGAGAATGCACAGGCGCCCTTGGTGCTTATGTACTCTAGCTCTACACCCTGGAAGTTTTGTTTGTTTTTTGGTGAACAGTTAGCCATCCTTGCCCACCCTCCTTCCAGGTTCCCAGCACAGAATCAGGCGGCTCGCGTGCTAATATCCTACAGGGACATTACAGCTCCAGTCCTCCCCGGGTCAGTCCAGGCCTTCCGGCCCTGCCATTCTCACCCAAACCAAAACCAAACCCTTTGCCATCAAGTCGATTCCGACACATGGTGACCCTATAGGACAGGGTAGAACCGCCCCATAGGGTTTCCAAGACTAATCTTTACGGAGGCAGACTGCCACATCTTTCTCCCTCAGAGCAGCTGGTGGATTCAAACTACCAACCTTTCGGTTAGCAGCCAAGTGCTTTAACTACTGTGCCACGAGGGCTCCTTCTCGTTCTCATCCACCATCTGATGCTATATAAGTCACAGCCCTGAGCTGCGTTCCTGGGGTGAGGCTGACCAGTCCCCAACCCCACTGGGGTGTTTCCCCTGCAAAGATGGATTTCCGGCCTCCAGTGCCTGCTCGGGGCTCCAGGCCGCCTGTAGCTGTCACCACCACATCTGCTTGCCCACGTGGGTGGGTCCAGTCCATTTCTGATCCAGAGACAATGACGACACAGTGTTTTCTTTTGAGCACAACTGTGCCTGGGTGATGCAAAAGTTTTGCGCTCGACTACTAACCTAGAGGTTGGCGGTTCGAACCCACCCAGCAGTGCCATGGAACAAAGACCTGACAATCTGCTTCCATAAAGATTACAGCCAAGAAAACCAGTTCTACTTTGTAACACATGAGGTTGCCATGAGTTGGAATCAACTGGATGGCAACGAGTTTGGTTTGGTGTCTTTCTCTCTCTCTCTCTGTCTCTCTCTCTGTCTCTCTCTCTCTCTCTCTCTGTCTCTCTCTGTCTCTCTCTCTCTCTCTCTCTCTCTCACTCACTCTCTCTCTCACACACACACACACACACATCTATATTTTCTTCCATTGCTTTATGGTTGAAGGACTTCCAGCCAAGAAGGTGAGCTTGGGGTGGGTATGGGTCAGGCAGCTTTTTCCTTTCTCTTTCAAACTGTGGTCTCAATGGACGTGTGGATATGGGATCCGCCTCGGGGTCTGGCCCTCAGAGGCAGGAAGCTTGGGACCTATCTCTGTGTCTTGCTGGACAGCCCTTCTCTCCTGACCTAGGCTAAGCAGGTGTACAGAGGCCAACCCAGACCCCTCAGACAGGGACCTTTCTCTTCTTACTCCTCCTTGCTTGATATCCTAATGCCCTGAAGTTGTTCCAACTTCTCCAAAGTCCTGTTCCAACTTGTAGGAGGGATTTATTTGTCTACTTACTCCCTGGCAAGTAAGTAAAACTTTAGTTCATTCAATAAGTATTTAGTATTCCCACTATCATGGTCGCTATGAGTTGGATCAACTCAACAGCAATGGATTTGGGGTTTTTTTGTTTATTCCCACTATTAAAAAAAAAGTTACCATTCTTCCACTCTGTCCTAGCTGCTCAGGGCTGTTGTTCTCTACAAGAAGTTCAGGGTCTGTCCCTGACTGGTGTCTTCAACCTTATCTCTAGGGAGGATAGTCTCCAGCAAGGCTAAAGCAGTAATTGATAAAGAAGCGCCTGTCACTTGGATTGGCCAGGAGGCGGGGTGCGGTTGGTGTTTTGTGACTTGGATAGTGTTCGTGCTTCATCTGATCAGATGCGATTTCTTTTTCTCTTGATCCATCACAGCCACAGAGTGGCGAGTGTTGATGTTCTGTGAAATTGTTCATGTTCAACAGGACACCAAGGCCCAGCTGAGTGGCAGGCTGGCTCCCAGTTGTCCGGGGCTGCCGTTCTTTTTCACCACCCAGAAAAACAGACAAATGCGCAAAAAATACTTGACATTTTAGTCCGTATCCTTCTAGTCTTCATGCATGTATTTTTTTATAAATTGGGCTCGTATCACATGCTGTGACCGCTTTTCCGTGCCAGCAGATGCCCATCCTTCTCATCATTTTTTAGTAACTACACGGTATCTTCTTTCCTGAGTATACTATTTCTTATTTAAGATAGTAGTATATGACATTTAATGAGGCATTGGTGGCTCAGTGGTAGAATTCTCGCCTTTCATGTGGGAAACCCAGGTTCAATTCCCAGCCAATGCGCCTCATGCACAGCCACCACCTGTCCATCTGTGGAGGCTCGCAGGTTGCTAGGATGCTGAACAGGTTTCAGTGGCACTTCCAGCCTGAAACAGACTAGGAAGAAAGGCCTGCAACTACTTCCGAAAATCAGCCAATGAAAACCCTATGGAGTTGAACGGAATAACTTTTTATCTAACTTCATAGCTAACTTCAACTAAGAATCAGCACAAAGCCAGTTCGTATGAAGCAGAGGTTGACTAGATCTCCACTTTCCACCTTCCCCACCATTTCTAACACCACAGCACTCTCTCTACTGGTTTGATAATTCATTGCAAGGTCCACAAACTCATGGAATCACCATACCTGTGATAACAACTTTACTGTAACAGAAGGATATGAACGACCAATGAAGATATGCATAGGGCAAGGCCCAGGAGGAGTCCCAGCACAGGCCTCTGCATCTCCAGGGAGAACAGATACTCTCAAACGCTCTGTGACGTCTCTTTTGGGCTGCCATGGCCTGGCCAGTGCAGCTTAGCTCTGCTTCACTCTGCTGCCGTCCTCTGGGTCTGCTGGTTGTCTCTGCTGCTTCTGGAACCATCACTGCCGAGCCACAGCTCTAAGTGCATTACAGCTCTTTCACCCCAATCTGGCCAGGTTTCCAGCACAGGGCTTCTATGTCCTAACAGACATGCCACCCTCTCAACTCTCAGCCAAGAAGCCCCCAAAAACCTGTTTCAGCCCTTTATATAGGGTATTTCTTGTCAGTTTAAAGGCTGGGCCTTCCTAGCCGGATGGGAGCCCAGCAAATCGTCAATTACCCAGGAAACATCAACCAGCTTGGGAAATCCTCTCCACATTGTTCTTTTCCACAAATCCCGGGCAAAAGGCCACAAAGGGAACCCACTGCACTGCTCGTGCAGATGGCACAGGACCAGGCACTCTGTCATTCCATTGTGTGTGGGGTCGTTGTGAGTTGGGACCAGCTCCACACCAGCTAACAACCTCGGACGTTTAAAGGCCGTGATGAACATCTGCATACAGACACCTTGGAGCCCTGGTAGGGCAGTGGTTCAGAGCTACAGCTGCTAACCAAGAGGTCAGCAGTTCGAATCCACCAGCCGCTCCTTGGAAACCCTACGAGGCAGTTCTACTCCGTCCTGTAGGGTCACTGTGAGTTGGAATCGACTTGACGGCAATGGGTTTTTGGTGTACTATCAACAATCACTAAACAGCAGTCTAAGGTATTCGGATTTATCGACTAAGTGGAGTTGCTCCGTCAAGGGGGCCATTCATTCATTCATTCAGTCAATGCTTTTTCAGCTTGTACCACGTGGCTCTCGGGGCTGGGGATACAAGCCAGAGTCCCTGCCCTTCAGCTGGGATTCTACTTAGGAGAGGAAAAGACACAATATGTCGGGTAGTGACAATTGCTATGGATTAGAGGGGACAGGCAGAGAAGGTGGGGTGCTGTTTTGTGGGACGGTCAGAAAGGCTGAAGCGAGGTGAGGGGGTGAGCCCAGCATACTCAGGGAGTAGAAAGGAGGCCCATCTGCAGGAGCCAGGGAGGCGGAGGGAGCCCTTTCCAGGGCCGCATGGTGGCTGGCAGGCCGGTAAAGACTTTGGAATTAACCCTGTGAGAGACGAGAAGCTGGTGAAGGGTGGTGCAATCTGAGGAGAATGTACTATAGGGGCCAGAGGACAACGGGGACCAGTTATGCCCTTGGCAGAAATCCCAAGAGAGAGGAGTGGCTTGTGGGGCCATGGTTGATAGATCGCACCCACTCTGTTTGGGTTGTGTTTCTCTTTCAGTACTGATGCGGCTAACACCTTCCGTGTTGACTGCCTACTTGTTTTTACTTCTCTTCGGTAATTGCCTTTTTAGGACTTCCCCCTGTTTTGTCTCTTCATTCATTTTTTCAATGGATTTGAAATAACTGGTGCCCTTTGTCACGTGCTGTAAATATCTCCCCCACATTTACTAGCCTTTGGATCTTGTCTGTGGAGTTTCCTTTGTCTTTGACCATCCCGTCCTTCACCGCTGTCCTGATGTTTCTGCCTTTGGGACCACGGAGGTCACATGTGACTATTAGTGTGTCCATGCGGGGGGGGGTGGGGGCCTCACTGGCACGGAGCCAGGGCTCATCCCAGCGCCTGGCCATTAGCCAGCCCTTGGAAGATGATAAACGAGGTGGACATCTATGTCCCCAAAGACAAGGACATCCCCACTTCCAGCCCACCCACAGGACCAGTCTCCATATATAGAAACAACCGACTGAAGGAGGTGAGACTGGCTGGGAGAATTCAGCAAAGGATTTGTTTAAGTAGCAGCCTCTCCCTGGGCCACTTAAAAATGAAATTTGACTTGTGAAGTGTGACCTTTTCTGCAGGTCTATATTTAGAAGGACATGCCTGTCCTGTGTGTGAACAGCCAGTGGGGCCCCTGCCCCTTCCTAAAGCGTCATCCGGCACACCAAGAAAACGCGAGGCAGGAACACAGGTCGCCTACCCGCCAAATCACGTGTACAGAGAAACCCGTGAGAGCCAGAACTCGACCAACGGCCGTGTTTTTCCGGGTCTTGCAAGTTTTTTTCCTGTCGCTCTCTCTTAGTGGGAAATAAGTTTTTTTTTTCCTTCTCTGGCAGTTTTCCCCCTTACACAGGTTCCTGTTTTCGCAGGTTTTACTGTGTAATAAATGATCTGAGTGCCTTTAATCCTTAAGTGACACCAAGGGCCTTCCTTGTCATTTCTTAGGTGGTGAAACAGGTTTGGAAAGGCTACTTCATTGCCAAGGTCTTACAGCCCGTTGGTGCGAGAGTGGCGTTGAAGCCCAAGGAGGCGTGCTCTCCAGGAGCTTTGGAGCCCTAGGGGTGTGAGACGGCTTCGAGCCGGCCACATGGTGTGGTTAGGTGTCCCGGAGGCTGGGCCACAGAGCAGAAACTGGCATAGGACTTGTGCAATTGGGACCATACCCGGCTGCTCACAGTGAAAGTGGGTGCAGACTCATCTCTGGGTGGGAGGGTTAGAGCCGACTGCTTCTTGTGCTCCACTGACCTGAGTGGCCGGAGCTGGCGGGTCTTCACGGCTTCAGGAAGCTGTTGCCCAGGGGTGGGTGCTCACTCCTCTCCCCCACCCTCCTTCCCAGTTCCCCGACATCGTGGAGTTCAGCGAGACCATGGCCAACGCTGGGAAGACTGTGATCGTGGCCGCCCTGGATGGAACGTTCCAGAGGAAGGTAAGGCATCTCATTCAGGCTTTGGGATGGGATCTGGAGAGGAAGAGGGGGCTGAGGCAGCCACGGGGCAGTGCCCAAGGACGGTCAGCCTAATGCGCCCTCCCTGGGTGACCAGAGCAGTGCCAAGGTGCTCAGACCAGGCCTTGGCAGCCCAGGGGCTCAGACAAGCCACGCCAGCCCCCTGGTCTGTCCAGGAGTGAGTCTGTCCCAGAGGGACACCGGCTACCGTAGCCAGGTGCTTTGAATTGGTGAAGGGACAGATGGTGCAATTAGGGGAAAAGCAAACTCCCCGGCTTGAGTGCTTGTGAGTCAAAGGGTTTAGAAGGACGGGAAGCCCACCAGGAGAGACGGGCGGCCTCACCTGCGGTCTTTCCGCGGGACCTGCAGGCTTTCGGGAGCATCCTGAACCTGGTGCCGCTGGCCGAGAGCGTGGTGAAGCTGACCGCTGTGTGCATGGAGTGCTTCCGCGAGGCTGCCTACACCAAGAGGCTGGGCTCTGAGAAAGAGGTACGCCCTCTGCCTTCTCCCCGGGGGGTTGGGGGGACACAGCGGGTCCCAGCCTTCACACCCGCCCGTGTCCCTGTGGCCAGGTGGAGGTGATAGGCGGAGCAGACAAGTACCACTCGGTGTGCCGTCTCTGCTACTTCAAGAAGTCCTCCAGCCAGCCGCCGGGGCTGGACAACAAGGAGAACTGCCCGGTACTGGGGAGGCCAGGGGAGGCGGTGGGTGTCCGGAAGCTTTTTGCCCCCCAGCAGGTCCTGCAGTGCAACTCGGTCCACTGAAGGGTCCAGAGGAGCCCTTCCAGGGCCCCTTGCCTGCCGCCCGCCCCCTTCCACTGCTGCCCCCTAGCGGGTGCCATCCCCCCCCCCGCCCCCCCGCCCAAGGCCTTTCTGACAAAGAAGTCCTGGGGCCAGACGAGGCCTTGCTGCTTGTGGAAATTTCTACGCTATGAGAAGTGCCCTTTCCCGCTGGGCATGTTCGTGTCACAACTCCCCACGCAGCCACAGCCCTTCTTAGTTCCCTTCCCGGCAGCTGGTCCACTGGCCCTGCTCGGGGCCTCCGGCCTTTGGGATGAGGGCAGAGCCGCATGCTCTTGTGACATCAGCGCTGCTGCCCTCTTCCCCCTTTGCGGCTCTCACTGTTGGTTTCTGTTCTCACCGGGAAGTCCGATCCCCAGCACCCGTCCGGCTGGGGCTCGCCGTCTCGCACCGAGATGCCCACCCTCTGAGGATGGCCCTCTTGCTTCCCTTCCTACGTTTACTGCTCGTTTTTCCCCGAACCCCTGGCTTCCATCCACAGGTGACACTCAGCCCGCTAGGGCTCAGACCCGGGGGGCCTGGCTTTTCAAGTGGGAGTGGGCACGTGGCCGGCGCAAGGGACAAGATTCTTCTGTGGCGTTTATAAAATGAATAACTAATAATAAAGTTAACCATTTAGTACAGGCATGGTTCTCTTTAACCTCACAGGCCTCTGCACTGCAAAGCGGGAGCTTGGGTGACCCGGGCACGGTGAGGTGGGGGTTCCTCTCCTGACCCTTTTCTGTATTACTGAGAAATCCCTGGGAAGCGGAACCTGGAAGAGGAACCACCCGCCTTTCTGCCTGGGCAGGTTTCAGGACTAAATGGGCGGATGGAGGCGCCCGGTGCCCAGTTTGGAAAGAGACCTGTGGTGGGTGCTGCCAGCTAGGCTGTGAGCTCAGTTTTGTTTGTGAAATAGACACTTGGCAGTTTGGGAGCCAAGAAGACACAGCTCAGCTGCACCTTGGAAAACAGGCCCTGGGTCCTGCTGCAGTGGGGGTGGGGCGGCAGGGGGGCCTGCGGGGGCGGCGGGGGCTGTGCCCACCTGCACCTGGCGGTGAGGGTGGTCCGAGAGGGCCCCCCGGCCCCCTGCCCTCCCCTTGGCCATATTCCAGGCAGTTGGTCATTTATCCAAGCCTTAGCCACAGACCAGGGAACCTTCTACAAGTAGGGCTCTGGCATCTGGGAGAGGCTGCGGCCCCCACACAGGAGGGCCATGCAAGATGTCCCTCAAGGTGGCTGATGTCGAGGAGGCACAGAGTCCTATAGTTCACGGGATCTGGGGAGGTGGCCCTGTCCGTTTTCACCCAGGGTTTTGAAACCACTAGGGCCCACTGTGCAAGGTGCCTCTGTCACTCCTCAAAGGGGAAGCCGGGGGTTGCTTCAGGGGCCGACCTCCCGAGGGTGGGCTGGGTCCAGCCCCTGTGTATTCTGGGAAGGGCTTGGCGGTGCTAGGCCCACGTCTGGGGGGAAGTAGAGGTCTGGCCTCTACGCCCTTCCCCACGGCACCCCTCTTCTAGGGAAGGGGTGCTCAGGGGATTGCCCCCCAGCTTCAAGAAGAGGTGGCAGGACCCTGGCACGGCAGGCCGGGAGAATCGGCCTGGTGACCGCTGAGCACAGTTGCTATTTTGAGAAGCTGATGGAGGGTAGTTTGAGGAATGAGACCCCAGACAGACCGGGCAGTGGTGGACATGCTGGGGGGAGGCCGACTGCCACCTCTGCTCTGAAGGAAACACCACGAAGCCACCCCGAGGGCTGCCTAGCAGAATTTCTTTCTCCTACCCCTAGGCTGAGACGCACCCAATGGAAGGAGACCGTGAATGAGAAAACTGTTTATTCCTTCTCCAAACATGCCTGACTGCCCGAGGGCCACGCTTCCCCACTGCAGGCCCGTCCAGCACATGGAGCGGGTCTGGGCAGTCCCACACTTCAGACCCAAGAGTCGCAGCAGAGTATTTACATAAAGCTGGGTGTGTCATCAGGCAGAGCCCCTCCCTGCTGCCAGGGGTGGGTGCCCACACCCTTCTCCCACAGCAGGAAGGTGCCCAGAGGCAGTTGGCACAGGGTGGTATCCCCAGATCCTGAGTGAGCAGGCAATACAGCAGTGACCATGGCCCTGGAGGCGGGGAAGGGGGGGCTGCTCACTCCAGAACAGGCAGGGGCATGCAACCCCACCAGGTGGGGTGACAAACCTGAGTGAGGGGCGAGGAGGCTCAGAGCCCAGCACCTCTGTCTTTGGCAGAGAACCCCAGTAACTGCAGCCATAAGGCCCTGACTGTGGCTCAGCTACTTGGGGGTTGGGGAAGGCTAAGGCCCTTGTCACACAGCAGGAAGGGAGGGCACCATCCTATTCCTAGCTACTCCATGCAGGGGCAGGGACATTAAAAGCAACGAGAAAACACTTCTAGCTAAAAAAAAAAAAACCCTTGTCTAAAAAATGCCCTTAAGGAGTGAGTGGGTGGGCAGCAGGGAAGCCCCTTTCTGCACAAGGCACTTTGGTGCTCCTAGGATAGCAGATGGTTCTCCGGCAGGCGCGAGACAAGAGGCAGACCTCGTGGGAGAAGTCTGAGATCGGCGGGAGGGCCCCGGCGCCCCCTCCCTGCTCCCCTTACCACCCCCGCTGTGACTCAGTACACAGGGGGCGGCTGGTAGCCCTCGGTGGTCTCCGCATCCTGGGTGAAGGGCGGTTGCTGGTAGCTGTCCACAGAGGTGGGGTAGGAGGCGTAGGCCGTGCTGGGGTTGGGAGTGGGGTCCGCGTAGTTCTGGATGTCCTGGATGAAGTCGTCCACCCCAGCCTTGTAGCGCCGGTAAGCCAGGAAGGCTAGCACACCCTGTGGGACATCCAAGGTTTAGGCCAGGGTGGGGCAGACAGGGCCCCCCGGTGCTCCCCCACCCATCACCGAGCACACCCACGAGCTCACCCATCCGGCCCACCTACCCAGGAGAAAATGGAGAAGAAGCTGAAGGTGATGGCCGCGCGGGCCGAGTCGGCGCCCACCAGCACATCCTCAGACTTGGTGGCTGCCCACTGGTTGGTGAGGAAGCAGAAACCAACGAACCACAGGAAGGTCCAGAGAGCTGCGGAGAGGAGGAGACGGGTCAGCCCTGTGAGGAAGCAGGGGCTTTCCGGGGACCCTGGGGGAACTCCTGGGGGGAAGGAGACCCTAAGGCAGGGATCTCCCGACAGAAGCTGGGGGGAGGAGGGGAGAGGAAGTGATTCCAACTCAGGGAAGCCTTGTTCCAAAGCCCCGCACTCACTACTGGACATCGGGGCATTCTAGCAGACGGGCAGAAACCCGCATGCCCAAGCCTAGGGTAGGCACGAAACCTAAGCGGAGCTGCCCACCCAGGCGAGCGGGCTGGGGAGCAGTGGAGGAGCTCTAGTGCTTTGGAAACGGTCTGGGATCACCTCCGCTCCCAAGACCAAATGGAGGTGCCCTGGGGAGGTACCTGAGAAGAGCAGGTCACCGATGACCAAGTACTTGCGGTCAGTGGCGTTGCTGATCTGGGGGAAGTAGGCATCTATCACGAAGAAGAAGGCGGAAGCCAGGAAGGCCAGCACGCCAATGGCCCCGCCGTAGCGACAGGCGTCCTCGTTATGGTTGAACACGCAGTGTCTCTGCTGGGACGTGTGGATGTTGCTGTAGCCCTCGCCGAAGATGCAGGCAAACACGATCAAGGCGAAGACCTGGGGGGGAAGGGTGGGGTGGGTGGTTGGGCTGGGCTGTGGGACACCCGCCTCTCCCACTGCCTGGTTCCCCTTTGGGAGCACGGCATGGAACCCCTTCGGAACTTGCCAGGCGAGCCAGTGAACAAACTGCCTCCTGGAGCGCCACCCCCCCACTTTTCAGGACACCACCAGAACTCAATGCCTTCCCAGCCAAGCTGCCCAGGGATCTTGGGGGAACTGCCCCGCCCCAGCCAGTGATGTGGATTAAAGACAACCCCCACCCCCAGCGCACCCCCAAACACTACGGGCCACAAAGTCATAGAAGCCCTGATTTCTAGTCTGACCCCGTCATCAGGTGTCCGAGTCACCTCCACAGCACCCACCCTCTGCCTGACCACCTGCCCTCAGGTGATGGAGCTGCCCCACCTCTAGGAAGAGCTCCGCCAGTGGGCAATCTGACTGGACTCTGAGCTAAAACCAGGGGTCTGCCTCCTGGACCTGCTTCTGCCTCAGCACCATTGGACCCCCCAGCTTCGGGGTGGGGGGCCAGCTGCTCCAGGCTAGAACCCGGTTTGTTCAGCTTGCTTCCTACAAGGACTTCTGCAATCTGGCACCCCTCTGACTCTGAGCGCCCCCCAGCCTCTTTCACCTCGGGGTCAGTCCAGCCTGCACCTGCCGGTCTGAGCAGCAGGCCTGGGGCTCAGCCCTGCACTCAGACCCTGGGGGTAGGGTCCACCAGCCAGAACTCCCAGAGGGGTTCCAGCCCCTTGGCCGTAGCTCCATGCCACCTGTCCCCTCCCCAGACTTAGGGCCACTGCCTATTGCACCCCACCTCAGCAGATGCTGGCTGGCTCTAGGCTCCCTCTGGCAGCCCCTGCCCGGTCCCTGCCCAGCCTGCCGCCCTTGGGGACTCCCAATAGGGCTCCCAAGCTGGCAGTCACAAGCCCCACCCCCAGCTGGGGAGGGAGCCGGAACTCTGGGATGCTGGTCGCACTGTGCCCAGCCGACTCCTGGCACTGCCATCCCAACACTGGGGGCATCAACTGCTTGGGCACAGCCCCGGACAGACCCACTCAGGACCCACGGGGGGTGAGGGGGTGGGGGAGTGCTACAGGGGCACCCTGGAGGCTTCAGCCCAGGCAGGCGCTCAGGACCCCCCTCTGCTGCCCACCGCTAAAACCTTCTCCAGTTTTAGTCACGACCCCCGCTCCCCTCCCCCCTAGAACCTGGTGCTGGAGGCTGGCCCCATTTACGGGAGGAAGCACACGCTGGGTCACCAGATCTGGCGTGAGGATACAGGGCCTTTCGCCTGCTCTGGAGGGGAAGGGAGACCCCGTTTCAGGGGTCAGACGCCTCGTTTACACCCTCCCCGCCCCCCACGTGGCTTCGGAAAGCCCCTTCCTGGTGAATTCCCCAAACTGGGAGTCGCGGCGTGCGGGCCACCTGTCCTGGAGCGGCTCCAAACTCCACCCATTGCCAGCAGAACGAAGGGCTGATCCCCGCGGCGTCTCCCGGCCACCCCGCGTGGTAGGGGGCTGGGGGGCTGGGGGGGGCCGGCGGGGCCCGAGACCAGGATGAGGAGTCCGGACCCGGGAGGAGGTGACGGGGTCTGGGACGGGGTTGGTGGTGTCTGGACGCAGGAAGGGGGGGGGGGCGGCAGGTCCCGGGACCAGGGTGAGAAATTCGGACCCAGGAAGAAGGTGGCGGGGTCCGGGATGAGAAGGGTTCCAGACGGGGCGTGGGGGTGGCGGGGTGAGGGACGAAGACAGGCGCGGCCCGCTGTTCCGCGCGGACCCGCGCGCCGCCTCCCAGATCCGGGCCCCGGGCGCGGGCCGCCACCTGTCGCGCCCGGAGGCCCTGAGGCCGGGGGTGGCGGCCGTCCCCACGCCCCGCGCCCTTCCCGCCGCTCACCGTGCACACGGCGCGCACCACGACCTGCGGCTGCGACAGGAAGCGCTGCAGGTTGAAGGAGCCGCCCGCCTTTGCCGCGCCGTAGGCCCCGCTCTCCATGTCGCCGCCGCCGCCGCCGCCGCCAAACGCCGAGAAGCAGCCGGGCGGCTCCGGCCCCTCCCGCCAGCTGGGGGCGTGGCCAGTGGCCCAGGGACCGGGGCAAAGTGCGTGCCTCGGGAGTGACGGGGACCGCTGGGACGCGGACGCGCCGCCACCAAGTGCGCCCGGCCCACCCACCTCCTAGTGGGTGCTCGGCCTCCTCCCGCGCTGGCCTGCAGCTCGGCCTCCAGGCTGACCCAGGAAGAGTCAGAGAGTCCCCAGACAGAGAGACGGACTGCAGCGTCCCCGGCCCCGCCCCCACCGTCCTTGCCCCGCCCTCTCGTCTGCTCCTCCTGGAAGCCACATCCGGCCCCCTCTCGGGACCTCACCTGTCCAGGACACTTTCCCCCCGCCCCATCCCACTCAAAGCCCCAGGGACTCCCGGCAGCTCCTTCCTCCTCTCTGGAGCTAAGCCTGGGGAAGGGTCATGGATCTCCCAGTGGCCCCTAATTCTTTCTGGAGCCGTCCTGGGCTGTGTGGCTTCAGATCTCCAGGTTCCAAGATGGTGTACAGACAGAAGGGAAGTTCCCAGGGCGACAGGCAGGGGGCAGAATTTAATCCAGTTTAATTCCCCAAACAGTTCCAGAGTGGGGAGGGCTCCCCAGGAGCGACAGGCTGCCGGGGAGGGAGAAATGCCAGACACCCTTTGCTAGTTACAGGTAAGGGTTACTGAGGGGGCGCAGGCCACGTGGGGCCCAGAGTAACGCCCAGGTGAGCCCCACGGTGTGAAAGGTGAGTGGATGGAGCCAGAGGACGGGGCCACCAGTAGATGGGGTGTTACTCCAGGGGCTGGGGAGGGAAAGGTGACCAGGTCAGATTTGGACCCTCGGGTGGGTTCAAGCAGCTGGGCCCTGTCACACTGTGCGTCCCCCAGCCCACTGTCCTGGATGGATGGGACAGTCGGGTGAGAGGTGAGGACAGCTGCACAGAGCCACCCCCCTTCCTTTACAGCCCACACACCCATCCTAAGGAGGTAACCGCATCTGTGGCAGAAACCCTCAGAGCAACAGCGCTGTGTTCCGGAAGGCGTCCAGGGCATCCAGAATCAGGCTGGCCATCTTTCCTTCCCTGTAGGTCCGTCCGTCTGTTGGGCAAGCGCTGGGCTGGCCTGGAGGCTCTGCCCTCTGTATCTTCCGGTCACAACATCTATTGCAAGGGCGTTGAGAGTCAGGTTGGGCAAGCACCCTCTCAGCTACCCTTCCCGAGGCCCCCAACTCTCATGGAGCTGGGCACATCTGAGCCCAGGGCAGGAGGAGGGGTGCGAGGCTTACTCACCCCACAAACAAAGGGAAAGGGGGGCTGAATCATGAGAGGCAAGTGCTGGTCACAGGGCGGGTTAGAGCAAGTTGAAGCCACGTCTCTATGCTCGTTTTATAGAGGGGAAAACTGAGCTTCAGAGCAGTGACACACTTGACCTTGAGTGCCTTGGGAGGAAGGACCTAGGTGAGACAGGGAGATGCCAAGAACAGAGTCCTGGGCAATGTCCGCAGAAGGGAGGAGGTGGAGAACCAGAATAGCAACGCCTCAGAAACCAAGGGAGGTTCAAGGAGGGGGGTGTCACTGCCACCGAAGACCACAGACAGGTGGAGCACACGGAGGCCCTAGGAGGCCCAGCGCCTGCCTCCTGTCACCACCTGGGAGGCACCGATCTGTGTATCTCCCATGAAGGCATCATCCTGCCTTCTCTCCTCAGACCTCACAGCGTCAGCTGACCATCACAGAGAGGCTGGGACTTTCCTCCCAGTCAGCGGGGTGCTTGGCACACAGTAGCCCCTTAAGCATCTACAAGTCCTACATACACACCCATGGCAGTAGCCCGGCCCCACAACCCCCCACCCACTGCTCCCCATCAGCCAAGGGCACCCCAGTCCTTGCCCCTCGCCTACACCCAGCATCACTTCCTACCAGATCCACAGGATGCAGCCCAGCAGCATTCCAGAGGCAAAGGCTGTGCCAGTGAGGCTGCCAGCCAGCACCAAGGTGGGACCCTGGAACAGCTTTACTTGGGGAGAGGCAGGGGTAGCTGAGTTGGGACTCCTGTTTAGGCAAGGGCAGGCTGGTTGCCCCCAACCCTTCTCTGACCAGGAGGCTGACCAGTCTTGGCAGTGACTGGCCCACCTCCCACCAACCTACCCCTGGACACCCAGGCACGGCCCACCTCCTACCCAAGAAGAGCCGGCTGCCCTAGGAGGCCAAGGGCCCTCACCTGAGGGCAACATCGTGAAGGCGCTGTACTGGATGCTTTTGTTGTTTTTCACCTGGCGCTAGGGCCAGGCTGACATTTCGGCCTGCGGGAATGAGAAGTTGGCAGGCTCCCCATGGGGTGGTGTCTGCTCCTCATGGATGCACCCAGTCTTCCCGACCGGGCTGTAGGTGATAGGTGGGCTGCCCAAGGACACCTGGCAGATAACCTCCACCATGACGCCTGGCCCCTGTCCATCAGGGTGAAGTTGGCCTGCAGCTGGGACAACAGCACTGGTGGAGCAGGACAGGGTAGCACTTACAGATGGAGATCACAGACCACAGCCTTCAGTGTGGATTACACCTCAACATCAAGAGAACAAAAATCCTCACAACTCGACCAATAAGCAACATCAGGATAAACGGAGAAAAGATTGAAGTTGTCAAGGATTTCATTTGGCTTGGATCCACAATCAACACCCATGGAAGCAGTGGTCAGGAAATCAAATGATGTATTGCATTGGGCAAATCTGCTGCAAAAACCTCTTTGAAGTGTTCAGAAGCAAAGATGTCGCTTTGAGGACTAAGGTGCACCTGACCCAAGCCATGATATTTTCAATCGTATCGTATGCATGCAAAAGCTGGACAATGACTAAGGAAGACTGAAGAAGAACCGGTGCATTTGAATTATAGTGTTGGCGAAGGACATTGAATATACCATGGACTGCCGGAAGAATGAGCAAGCAGCCCGAATGCTCCTTAGAAGCAAAGATGGCGAGACTACATCTCACGTAGTGTGGACGTGTTATCAGGAGGGACCAGTCCCTGGAGAAGGACATCACACTTGGTAAAGTAGAGGGCCAGCGAAAAAGAGGAAGACCCTCGACGAGATGGATTGACACAGTGCCTGCAACAATGGGCTCAAACATAGCAATGATCGTGAGGATGGCGCAGGACTGGGCAGTGTTCCGTTCTGTTGTATATGGGGTTGCTGTGAGTCAGAACTGACGGGAAGGCACCTAACGACAACAACAAACATCCTTACTGGCTAGTAACACCCGGCCACTCCTTGTTGCATGCACTAAAAGCGTTCATTTAAGCCTTTCAATACTACATGGTACTATTATCTTTGTTTTGCAAATGAAGCCACTGAGGCCCAGAGAGGTGGAGTTGCTTACCCAAGACCCCCAGGCCAGTGTTGTTGTTGGGTGCTATCCAGTCAGTTCTGACTCACAGCAACCCTATGTACAATGAAACTCTGCCCGGTCCTGCGCCATCCTCACAATAGTAGGTATGTTTAAGCCCATTGTTGCAGCCACTGTGTCAATGCATCTCATGGAGGATCTTCCTCTTTCTCCCTGCCCTTCTACCTTACTGAGCATGATGTCCTTCACCAGCGCCACTAAGTGTGGGATTTGAACCCTTGACATGCCGGGGTCTCCTTCCCTAGGCTGTCCCTTCCCTGTGTTAACTTCTTAGGGTCAGAGACAAGGAATGGATGAGGGCCCGGGGTCACAGTGCCACCAGAGGCCAGGCGGCACTTCCTGGTTACCACCTTGGCTTCCGCCAGGAAGGACAAGGGGAAGAACAGGGATCGGAGCTGGCGGTCAGGAGTTGAAACCAGCCTTTGTTACTTGCAAGCCAAGAGGCCCAGGCATGTTTTATAGCCTCCTTTCTCTTCCACTTCTATAGACCCCACCCTTTGGTGGTGAAGATTCAAGGAGATCGCACACAAAAGGTGCCTAGCTTATCAGTCTGAGGTCAGCACTAAACACACCCCTAATCCTATCCCTCCTCTATCCTCGCCAGGCCTTGCTTGCTCCCTTCTGCCCTTTTGCATGTTCCTCTCAACCCCCTCAACCACACCCTGGCCAGGGGCTTGTGCCAGGGCCCCCAGCTGGAGACAGGCCGTGCCCTGGGATCAGGCCTTTTGGGACTGTGAGTGTCCTTGTCCTTGTCCCCACCCTCCTGCCCTTGACCTTTTCTAAGCCCAGCCCCCAGGAGCACAGAAATCCCACCTCCAGAAGCTCTGGGTTTATCTGCCAGATGCTGCTGCCCGCTGCCTGCTCCCCCGTGGTGCCCCCGCCACCCGCACTCACTGTCCCACAGCTCCTTGAACATCTGCAGGCTGTTACTGATGGCCGTCTTGCCGGACATGGAGGCCCCATGGCAGGAGTAGGTGAGCAGGACTGGACTGGACTTGAGTGTGGTGTTGAGGATGAAGGAGGCCGAGTGCCTGGTCAGCACTGCCATCTTCCCAGCTCTGTGCCCTGGCTGTCCCAGAGGGTGTAGGTGATCGGTAGGGGCATCTGTGTTGAGTAGCATGTTATGAGAACTCGGCGGCCTTCAGGGAAAACCTCCAGGACTTTGTAGTTAATGGAGATGTCGAAGGCGACTTCCAGGGAGGTGAAAGGGTCCGGGGAGGAAGAAAGACCAACAGTATTTACTAAGTACCTTAAGTAAACGCTAAACAGAATCACCACATGACCCAGCAATTCCGCTCTTGGACATACCCCCAAAAGAATCAAAAACAGGGACTCAGACAGATACTTGCACATGCATGCTCACAGCAGCACTATTCACCACAGCCGAAGGGTGGGAACAACCCACGTGTCCCTCAACAGATGAATGGATAAACACAGTGTGATCCATCCACACAATGGAATGTTATTCAGCCATAAGAAGGAATGAAGTTCTGATACACGTTTCAACACGGATGTACCTTGAGAACACTATGCTGAGTGAAATTTATTTTCTCACAGTTTAGGAGGCTGTTGTTGTTGTATGCCGTCACGTCAATCCTGACTCAAATGACCCTATAAGACAGAGTAGAACTGCCCCATAGGGTTTCCAAGGAGAGGCTGGTGGATTCGAACTGCCGACCTTTTGGTTAGCAGCCTGAGCTCTTAACCACTTGGCCACCAGGGCTCCAAGGAGGCTAGAAGTCTGAATTCAGAGCCCCAGCTTGTGGGGAAGGCTTTCTGA